TTCTTGTATCTTCATAGGCATTTCCTTTTTTAGGTTGGGGAAGTTTTCTTCTATGGTTTTGTTGAATATGTTTTTTGTGCCTTTGAGTTGGTATTCTTCTCCTTCTTCTATCCCTATTATTCTTAGGTTTGGTCTTTTCATGGTGTCCCAGATTTCTTGGACATTTTGTGTTATGACTTTGTTAGCTTTAGTGTTTCCTTTGACTGACAAATCTATTTCCTCTATTGTATCTTCAACACCAGAGTTTCTCTCTTCCATCTCTTGCATTGTTTTTTATGCTTGCACCTGTAGTTCCTGTTTGTTTACTCAGATTTTCCATTTCCAGCATTCCCTAAATTTGTGTCTTCTTTATTGCCTCTATTTCAGTTTTCAAGTCTTGAACTGTTTCTTTCACCTGTTTGATTGCTTTTTCTTGGCTTTCTTTTAGGGATTTATTGACTTTTTCTACTTTTTTGCTGTCTTTTCCTCAATTTCTTTAAGGGAATTTTTCATTTCCTCTTCAAAGGCCTCTATCATGTTCTTAAAGTCATTTTTAAGGTTGATTTCTTCGGCTTCTTCTGCGTTGGGATGTTCAAGTTTTGCTGATGTAGAACCACTAGGTTCTGATGGTACTATATTGGTATTTATGTTGTTGACTCTATTTTTGCATTGGCATCTACTGATTTCTTCCTCCACTCGTTACAAGCGTTGTCTGTGTCTGAGAGAGCCTCTCTTGGTCCTATTGGAGCTCTTGGTCCAATTGGTGCTGATGCCCTCTTTGTCTCAGAGAGCAGCTCTTAGTCCATTTGGCACTGGTGGGCTCTATGTCAGGGAGCAGCTATTCCCAATTGGCACAGGATGGGCTTATGGCTGCGGTGGTCACTGATGCCACAGGGGATGATTGGTTTGGCGAATGTTGTTGGGGGAAGAATCTTGCTGCCTAGTCTATTGGGTTGTATTGGCTGGAGGGCAGGGGGGAGGTGCAGGGACTGTGCCCCCATGGCCTAGGGGCTAGAGACCTGGTCTGCCCAGTCTGGAGATGGGGCCTTACTTGTTCCCAATTGGTGCAGGGTGGGCTTATGGCACCTATTAAATGTTCTTGTTAACTGAAGTATGTCAACCCGGAACATGGTTTTTATGCTTAAAAACTCACCCTGAGAAAGACTCAAGGCTACACTGGAATCCCAAACTTTTGGTGTAATCCCCAGCCAGCTAATAAAGACTCTCTATTGTCTTAAACCAGAGGCCACATAGTCTTCTCTGGTGGGTCCCCCACCACAGGTATAGTGACACTGGCCTGTAAGAGAGGGAGAAGAAGAAATAGAATCAGGAGTTCAAGGCCATACCGGGTGTGGTAGCCCAGAATGCCTTTGTATTCCCCAACTTGAATCAACCCATTTCACCCTATTTTAGTTATGGTTTTTATTCCTGTGATAAATACCTTGACCAAAAGCAACTTGGGGAGTGTGATGGCTATTCTTGTTTGTCAACTTCATTACTGCTGGAATTAATTGAAACCACAAAATGGAGGGGCACACCTGTGAGGGATTTTTGCTTAGTTAAATGGGAAGATTTACTTTGAATTCAGATCTTTGTAGTGAGAAGACACACCTTTAATTCAGATCTCTTGAGGTAGCAAGACCCACCTCTAGTCCAGTCCATGCCTTCTGCTGGCAGCATATATCAGGACATGGAAGAAGGAATCATTGGCTCTTTGCTTGCTTGCTCTTGCCTCATTGGTAAGTCCACTCCTTCACTGATGGTAAAGCCTACCTCTTTGCAATCCCAGTGTTTACTGAGGACCAGCAGAGACGTCCAGCCTAGTGGACTGAACAACTACTGGACTCTTGGACCTTCCACTCATAAGCAGCCATTGTAAGTCATTATGTTGTTCATCACAGCCTGTAAGTCATTCTAATAAAACCCCTTTCTATGTATATATTCATTCTGTAAGTTCTGTTACTCAAGAGAACCCTGGATCTTACTCATCCCTCTGCCATGTATCTTTGTCTCCTACTCCTCTTCCACTTTTTCTCCCTCTTCTTATTCTTCTTGTTTTTTTTGAGACAGTATATCTCTATGTACCTCTGGATTTCCTGAAATTTACTATGTAGACCAGGCTGGCCTTGAGTTCACAGAGGTCGATCTTCCTCTGCCTCTCTTTTGTTGATTTTGAAAGTGTGCACCACCATGCCTGGCTTATTTGCCCATTTCTTAATGAATGCACAGGTTCATCTATATGTTATATATCCTGTTTATTTACTTTGTATTGTTTTAAAGATTTGCTTTCACTGTATTTACTTATTTTATTTTATTTTTCGAGACAAGGTTTCTCTATGTAGCCCTGGCTGTCCCGGAACTCACTCTGTAGACCAGGCTGGCCTCGAACTCAGAGATCCACCTACCTCTGCCTCCCAAGTGCTGGGAAAAAGGTGTGCACTGCCATGACTGGCTTTATTTTTACTTTTTATTCTTGTGTAGTTATGTGTATTTATATGAGTATATGTTATATGTGTGCAGGTGCCCATGGAGCCCAGAAGAGGTCGCTGTTTCCACTGGAACTGGAGTTACTAGGTGTTGTATACTGCCCACCAAACTGGGGTCCTCTGCCAGAGCAGTTATCACTCACAAGCACTGAGCCAACTCTTCAGACCCCATCCCGTTTATCATAATGCTTGATCGGACTTTGTCATGTCTGCAGGCAAGCTTGGACATTGATGATACATTTAAAAATTATTTAGTTGACTCTGTTGCATGAACATTTTGCCTGTATGTGCATGCACCGCCTGTATGCAGGGCCTGTGGAGGTAAGAAAAGGGTGTCAGGTCCTCTGGAACTGGAGATGGTTGTGAGCCACAATGATGATGCTGTGAATCAAACATGGGTCCTCTGAAATTGCAGCCAGTGCTCTAAACCACAGAGTCATCTCTCCAGCTCCAATAATTTACTTTTTCCCCATCTAATCTTTTAGTTTGTTGAGGGCTAGTTAGACGTGTAGATGCTAGCAGGGTCTTTGGGTTTCTGTTTCTCATTGTCTGGCCCTAAGCTGGCTCATGGCTCCTTTGGAAATGGACTGTTCTTTTTTTTCTTACACACACAAGTGTGCACAGTGGAGTTATACCCGAGTCCAGGGAATATTTTCATTTTATCTTTTATGTGAATTTGCTTGTCTTTCTGGCTTTATACATTGAAACTACTAACATGACTGTCTGGAAATCCTGACTTTGAGAAGGTAATTAAAGTTAAATGAGATGTAACTTAAATCTTTTTATTGTTGTTGTTTTAATTTTTATTTATTTTTCATGGCATTGTGCCTGCATATGTCTGCTTAAGGGTGTCAGATCCTCTGGAACTGAAGTTACAGTTGTGAACCACCATATGGGTGATGGGAATTGAACACAGGTCCTCTGGAACAGCAGCCAGTGCTCTTAACTCCAGAGTCATCTCTCCAGCCCCTTAACTTAAATCTTAATTTAAGTTAACTGAGATGTTTTGTTATATTTCTCTTCCTTCTAATTTGGTCTTGAGTTCTCTCTGGAAAGACACTAGTACTCTAACCCTGCCTTAATGAAGCTCCTGTGTATTACACACCCATTATACTCTAGTGAGAAGAAGGTGCATGGTTCAGCTGTAGACACCTGCCTAGAATCCACCCCCCCAGTGAGGGGCTGGGGTGTGGCTCAGTGGTAGAGCCCCTGCCTAGAATCCCCCCCCATTGAGGGGCTAGGGTGTGGCTCAGTGGTAAAGCTCCTGCCTAGAATCCCCCAGTGAGGGGCTGGGGTGTGGCTCAGTGGTAGAACAGTGTCTAACATGTACAGGCCCTGGGATCCATGCCCAGAGTCACAAAAACAAACAAACAAACAAAAAAACAAACAACAACAAAGGTACAAAAGCACAAATGAATACAATAAAAGTAGAAACATCAGGATAAGACTCTTAGTTTTCCCCACATTCCCCCTGATTGTGATTGCTCACTACACACAGTTCTCCAAGCTGTTGCCCTTGGGAGAAACTATAGGTGCAAGGCACAAGAGATCTGCATTAGTGCTCACAATTTCCAAATATGTAGTTAAACAATAAAAATTCCCAAAATTAAAAATAAAGAATAAGCTGGGAGTAGCCAGGGTGGTTTCATGGCTGTAATCACAGCACTCGGGAGATGCAGCGAGGGAGCAAGGGTTTGAGGTTGAAGACCTGTCTTCTTAAAAAAAATTTATGACTAGGGAGACAGTTCAGTAGGCAAGGGCACAAACATGAGGGTGTGAGTTCGAAACCCCAGCACCACACAAAAAACTGATATGAACGTGTGCTGGAACCCCAGGGCTGTGGCTGACAGAGAAAAAGGGTCAGCGACCCCTCTAGCCACCAGCCTAACTCCAGGTCCACCACATACAACCTCTTGCATTAAAAAAGAAGACACTATGCAAAAATATGACCTCATTTATTTAAAACTTGATTTATTTGTGTGGTGCATAGAGAGATGTATAAAATGGTAGCCCAAGTGCTATAGTGGGAAAGCCAGGGGTAGCTTCATTTTTCCATCTCTTGCTGTTCACCCTTTAGATGGCCACACGCAGGCTCTCCATCCACACAGCCTCAGGTCCTTTGGGAACATTCAGGTGGGACAGACAAAGGACAGAAATAATTCCACTTCGTTACGGACAATGAGTGTCTTGGGGTGGATGTAGTCTGGCAGATCCAAGCTGGAGGTCATTTCCCAGGCATCCACAAAGGCCACTTGGAGACCCACAAAGGCAGCTCGGAGGAACCTGTTCACCTGGAGTGTGAGCCAGTCACTGCCATACACAGATTTGTAGCCAGTATTGGCCAGTTTGATAACCACCAGAGTACTGGGTTCCCGGTCCAGCAGGGCTTTCACAGCTGCCCGAATCCCTGCCAGTCTTCGAGCAATGATGGATGGATGGAAGGTGGTAAAGTGAGCTCCCATACCCAGCACCACCACCGTGGAGGGTCCCCCAGCCAGGCCATGCAGTTCTCTGGCCACAGAGTGGAGCGAGGCCACGGGGGTGCGGAGAGAGCGCAGGGGCCAGCCATGGGCCCTCCAGTGTAACACTGTCCCCCGAGTGGTGTCCACAGCCATCAGGGGACCGGCCTGATATGTGACATGTAGATCAACTGGCTTCAGGGCTGTTGGGAGGAGGAGAAAGAAAGTATTAACATAGGGGATCAGCAAGATGGCTCAGCTAGGAAGGGTGTTGCTGGCAGCCCTGACGACTTGAGTTTGATCCCCTAAGATTCACAGAGAGAGAATCAGCTCTTGCACGTTGTTCTCTGATCTCCTCACACACACTATAGTATGTGATTGTACACACACACACACACACACACACACACACACACACACACTCACACACACAGAGACTCTCTCACACACACAACTGTAGTAAATTTTTAATAATAAATTAACATAGGATTGTGAATCATTTTCTTGTACAAATAAAGGTTCTTCTTCTTCCTCTTCTTCCTCTTTGTCTGACATAAGATCTCACTAGGTTGCCCTGACTGGCCTAAAACTCACTATATAGACGAGCAGCCAGTGCTCTTAACCACTGAGCCATCTCTACAGCCACTATATATGAGCATTTTTAATCATCCTTATACACATGATCATGTCACTTCTTCCTTCTTTTCTTTGTACGGCTGGGGAGAGAACCTCGGGCCTCTCAGGTGCTAGACAAGTTCTCTGCTACTGAGATACACTCCCCTAGACCTTCATTGGACCATCAAGGCAAGTGCTCCATCACTTGGGTATGGTAGGGGCATGGCTCAGGGGTAGAGGCCTTGCCTAGAGGGGCTGGAGGAAGGGTGACTCAGTGGTGGAGGACTTGCCTATCACCTCTTAGTGACACACTGGAGTGTTGCTCAGTGGTAGAAACTTGCTATGCAAGTACAAAGACCTGAGTTTGAGCCCCAGGACCTTCATTTTAAAAGAATCAAACATAGTGTCTTGCAGCTGTAATTCTAGTTATGGAGAAATACATATAGGATTTTTGGGGCTTGATGGACAGCCAGCCTAGCCATTTGGAATGTTCTAGGCTAATGAGAGACCTTGTCTCAAATAATGCTCTGTTATGAAGTGTGTGTGTGTGTGTTTTCTGTAAAGTCTTCTGTAGCTCGTGCTAGATTTAACCTTCTTTGTAGCTGAGAACGGCCTTGAATTCCTAATATTCCTGCCTCCATCTCTAGAGCACTAGGACTACACGTGTGCACTTCCACACTCAGGCTGAAGAAGTATTCATGTCTCCACTTACAGGTGGGACACTGAGATCCTAGAATGTTCAGTGTTTTACCTTGATCACAATGATGGCAGGAGATGTGGCTCAGCGCATAGAATGCTTGCCTAGTGTGGCTAGGGCTAGTGAGAGGACTCCTTAGGTAAAATTCCTGCTGTGCAAGCCTCACCACCTGAGCTCCATTCCTGGAAGGAAGAGCTGACTCCTTATTGAGAGCTGCTGGTAACAAAAGACCATGGGAGTATACAGCAGGTGATATCTAGTATTCAGAAGGTCAACCTATTAGAACAAAGGGTTCTGTTAGAGGAAACTACCACACAAGGTGTTATGGAATTACTGCCTTTTGTATGAATTGGTTGTTTCTTGTAAACTTCTTGTGCGATAACAGCTATGATTCTCTCCATTTACCGTGCATTTCCATGTATGTGTACATGCAATGCCATGACTGTATCTCAATCTTATGGGCACACATACTTGTGGATAATCAAGAAGATGGTTTCTTATTTAATTGTACAATTTATATGAATAGAAACATACTAAAATATGCTTCATAACAAGGTCTATTGTTCCATGTGGACTGTAGACACCTAGAGGTCTTGTTCTTTACCCTTAGCCACTGATAAGGCAAAATTGGCCAAACAAAGTATCCTCGTATAACTTTTACAGAGTGGAATTGCAGGTGCCTGGCATTGTTAGATGAAAACTCTTCAGAAGAATCACAGTGAACCAGAAGTGATAGTGCAGTGTCTGGCCTTGGTATGTCTTAGTCCTTCAAGAGATCAATAGCACCTTTGTTGCCCTAAGCTTCTGCCACTGGCACCTTCCCCCACTCTGATTAAAAAAAAAACAGTTAACACTTTGTATTTATTTCTTCACCAGTTTTTAATGCAAGATTTTATGCTCAGTAGAATAATTATATATAGGTCCTGAGATTCAGTGACTAACAGAAAAAGGCTGTTAACTGACTAACCATGTCTGGATATTACTAATCACATAAAATAGTACATGTATTCTTTGTGTTTTCCTTAAATCACTCATTGGTTTAGTTTCTTCCCTTGTAACTGTTGTAGCTATCCCTTTAAGAGACAGCCAGAACTTTTTAGAGCCTACAGGTGTTGGCAGCCACCAATTAAGCTCATCAAGTCTTTGCCAAGTGTGACTCTCATCAGAACACTTGTCCTTGAGAATTTACTTTGTAGTTTTTACGAACAAGTTGTGAATGAATGGAGATATATATATGCTTGTGGGACCAAAAAGGAGGAAGGTGGTAAGAACTAGGTAGAATAATGAGAGAACAGCAGGAGGGACCAAGAAGAGCTAAGTATGAGAACAGAAAAGAAGCTGTGTAGATAGAATTGATTTAGAAGAATAAAGCAAATGGACTAAAGAACTCAGTGTGCTTAGATTCATTGAACATCCCTCAGATCAATATCCTAGATGCTTGTAGCTTCTGTTCTGGACCCTGGTAGAAATCTCCTCAGGGCAGGCACCTGTGGAGAATTCGTTAACTTCTCAAAGTCTCTACACACGTTCCATGACACATGCACAGCTTTGAACACACTTATTACACACACACACACACACACACACACACACACACACACATACTACTACTACTACTACTACTACTACTACTACTACTACTAGCTGGGCTTAGTGGTGTATGCCTTTAATTCTAGCACTCAGGATGCTCAGGCAAGTGGATTTTGTGAGCTTGAAGCCAGCTTGATAGCCATAGTGAGTTCTGGGCCAACCAGGATTACATAGTAAGACCCTGTCTCATAGAACAAAGAAGATATCATACTCCTTCACTTACCTGCCTTTCAGGAAGGCCCAGCATCCTGCCATACCTTTCTACCAATCATGGGAATCTCCTTCAATGCAAGTGCTTGTCTGGCTTTTCCATCATGAGTCCTCACAGGCCCCCCTCTCCCCTCACAGTCACTCACAGGGCACTGTGTCTCGCAGATACTCCCACCACTGCCGAAGTGTGGAATCCCCCATCATGTAGACGATGCGGCCAGCCAGGCAGTTGAGGATGCTGTCCACAGTGGGGAAAGAGCGGCTAGAACAGAACGTGGAATGTCATCTGTCTTGGTGGTAGAAGCCAGAGGGTTTTGGAGACAGGTGGCCAGGGCGGCATGGGGGCCTTGAAAGCAAGGCTATAGGACACAGAAAGGCAGAGAAGATTAAACAAACAAAAAAAATGAAAGTTTTATAAAATATCAGGCATTCTTTATAATTTATTTGTATTTTTTTTTACATTTATTTGTGTGCAGGTGTGTGAATGCCACACTACACATGTGGCAGACAGAGGGCAGCTTTTGGGAGTCAGTCCTTTCCTTTCACTGTGTATGTCCCAGGGTTTGAACTCGAGTCCTCAGCCTTGGCAGCAAGGCCCTTTGTCCACTGAACCATTTCTGTGGTCCAGGCAGGCATTCTTCTACATACTTTGTATGTAGCCCATCAGTGCACTCTTACAGAGCCTGGGACGTTCTACTATGGTGCATGCGTGTGTGTGTGTGTGTGTGTGTGTGTGTGTGTGTGTGTGTGTGTGTGCTTGAGTGCACACATGAGTGTTTGAAAAAGTCTTATGTAGCTCATAATTGCCTTTAACTTCCTATGTAGCCAAGAATGGGCTTGACTTCCTAATCCTCCTGCCTTGACCTCTAGAGTGCTGGGACTCCAGGTGTGCATCTCCACACTCATGATGTAGCCCTGTTCACATCTCTACTTATGGATGGGGACACTGAGATCTTAGAATGCTAAGTGATTTACTGTGATCAAGAACAAGGAAGATGGGCCAGGCATAGTAACCCATGACTTGGGGAGGCAGAGGCAGATGTTTATGAAGTCAAGGCCAGCCTGGTCTACATAGCAAGCTGCAGACCAGCCAAGGCTATGTAGTGAGACACTGTCTCAAAACAAACTAATAAACAAACAAAAAGAACATAAATGGCTGTAGGTGAAGCTGAGTTTAAGTATGCTTACCTAGTATGTTTGATGTTCTGGGTTCAAGTCTCATCAGTGAATAAACCAGTTCTGTCAGCTTCTGGCCTGTAACTCAGGAGGTGGAGGTAAAACGATCAGAAATTTGAGGTTGTGCCCACAAGATAGCTCAGTGGGTAAAGCCATTTGGTGTACAAGCCTGGAAACATGAGTTTCAATTCCCCACGGCCCACATAAAGGTAGAAGATGAGAATCAACTCCACAGAGTTTTCCTCTGACCTCACATGTGGGGGGCCATCCCTCACTCCTTCATTTCCACAGAGTATTCTTGAGCAGGAGCAGCAGGAAATATTAGCTAGAAGGATAGAGGGAAGAAAAACAGAAAATACAGAATAGCCTCGAAAGGGCCTGGATTCTAATCCAGTGGGCCTCAACTGTCTCTGCCCCAGAGTAAAGAATACCAAGGGCTGAAGCAAAACATCTCCCCCAGCACAGCTAAGAGCAGACCAACTCAGACACCTGCTCTCAGGCACAAGGTTCAATCATCCTCTCTATGCAGACCTGCTGGGTAGAGCCACTAGGAAACCTAAAAATGGACACACACACACACACACACACACACACACACACACACACACACTCATTAAGGCACATGTGCACCCACATCCACATCACATATCCACATGTATAATAATCATAAACAGATGAGTAATTTTTAAAGGCCATCAATATGTCTCCATCACCAAGCTTGATGGCCTGAGTTTGATGCAAGGACCCACATGGCTGAATGAGAAAACCCATTTCTGCAAGTTGCCCTCTGACCTCCACACTTTTGCTGTGCCATGTATGGCTACACACACACACACACACACACACACACACACACACACACACACACACACACACAATTGTTGTGGGATGTCTTTCTATGTGCTGTAATATGTGTTGCTATGATTTGTTAATAAAGAAGCTGCTCTGGCCTATGGTGAGTCAGGTTATAGCCAGACAAGAAATCCAAGAGAGAGACAACAAGAAGAAAGGCAGAGGAGATGCCAGACTGCCATCCTAGGAACAACATGTAATGGGATGCAGGTAAAGCCATGGAACATGTGTCGAAACATAGATGAATAGAAATGGGTTAATTTAAGATATAAGAGCTAGCTAGAGGCCTGCCATAGGCCATACAGTTTGTAAATAATATTAAGCCTCTGAATGATTATTTTATAAGCAGCTGTGGGGCAATATGGCCAGATGGGACTGGAGAAAACTTTTGACTACACACAATGTAAAAAAAATTTTTTTCAATAAAAAATGTTCCAGTTCATCCTTGGCTACATAGCAGGTTCAAGGCCTATCTGTGTTAACTAAGACTCTGCTTCAAAAGAAAAGCATGAGGTGTGGTGGAACACACCTTTTTTTTAAAATTTTATTTATTTTATTTTACAATACCATTCAGTTCTACATATCAGCCACAGGTTCCCCTATTCTCCCCCCTCCCACCCCCTCCCATTA